ACTTGACAGAAAAATGATTCGAATAACCAGAAATGACATCTTTAAGGGATTTTAGACATTCTCCCAAATTGAATGTTTTTAAATACTCATCTCGTTTGTCATTCTTTGAATTGAATTCAATTTTCATCAATTGTAACACTTCCTCAATGAGCATTAGCAAAATATTGTTGGATGAAATAATCATGTCAACCAGTCGATTTTGCTTGTCACTCATATTTGTTTCTTTCAATAATTCCAAACTTCCCAATGACGACAGCAATGGACACCTAAATTCATGTGAAATGTGAGACAAAAATGTACTTTTTGATTCCAGAGCTGACTCTAATTTCTTACTGGTTTCTTCCAAAGTTGCAACTTTCTGCCTCAAATACCCAGTCACATTAACCTTGTAATAGGTGAATACCCAAATACAACAAGTCATTGAAGCACATTCACAAGCTGAATCCACAAATGTCTCACTACATCCCTTCCTCACAAATTCCATCACAGCTGCCACCAATCCAACTCCTCCATATAGACTTGTTAAGAAATAGGTCGGCAACATTCCCCAAAAAGCATTATTCTCATCAAACAATTTGTTAGCTCCAACAAACCACATAAACGTCGAAGGAAGAAACAAAATCTTGTTTTTCGGAAATATGAAATATCTCAACGTTGTAATAATCATTGAATAGACAAGTCTTTGTTTCTCATCTTTATCTGCTTTTGAAAAATCCATAGCCATTGTTGATTTGATATTTCCTCTATTTAATGTCATCTGAACAGCAATTAGAAACATATTAAATAATGTTCCAAATATTCCCTGAGAAGTGAAGGTATACAATAAAGAACAACAATATATAATGATAAAAACAATGAGAATGACATTCCGATTCGTGAATGCTCGTATCATGATTTCATTGATTGCCTTTTCTTGAAATGATGACAATAATACGGCACCACTACCACTACTATTTGAAAAAGATGATGTTGTTGATGACGATGCCGATGATGATGATTGTTGTATTGCTTCTTGTTGGTGTTTTACATTTTCATCACTATTGAGAGAAGAAAAGTGGTTGTTGCTGGTGGATGTTATCTTGGACGACATTATTTGTTTTTGGTAGTGTGTTGTTGTTTTGTTTTGAGAATATTCGAAAGGATCAGATAATACTGGAGTAACTGTCCTGTTCATAAAAGGATCTTTCCTTTCTAATGCAAATGGTAAGAAAAGTATTCTCTAACAAAAAAAATAATCACTTCATCATTGCTGATTCAATGTGCATGATCTTTGGATATAGTAGAATAGTAATTTTATTGTTGGAAATTTTAATCATCAAGAAATTTAATATCATCATCACTTGGGAAAAATTTCAAATGTTGTTAGAACAGGTTGATTTGTTGTTCTAATAGTATTTAAATTAGTATTCTGCAAGTTTACTCTTTAAAATTATTTGGCTCCAAGTCGATTTTTCATCAAAATCGGCACATCTACTTGGTCATCACAAAAACCAGCAATTGGAGATTGTTCAGAATGGTCAATACTATGTGTGGGGTGAATTTTGGAGGATTTTTGTCTTTATTGGAATCGGTACAAGATAATGTACCATCACTACTTGACCAAATCAAAAACTTTCTTCTAGTAACTATTTATTTTCACAACATATAACATCTTCATCCTTACTTTCTTCAATTCATGGTGGAGGTTTCTCACTAATATACACAAATGTACAATATCGGAACATCATCCAAGTTTTATATCTTTAATAAAAGTATTGTCCTTGAATCATCATAATACTTGGAAATTGCTTGCCATCCAATAATATGTAATAGAAAGGAACTAGAGTAAAGGTTGAACAACAATCAGAGAATGAAATAACACCTTGACTAGGTAAGTGAATTCACCACAGTTGTTGTTAATTCTGTAGTGGACGAACCATTCGAGAGACACGAAGAAACTGATTCTGCCAACTAGATTGTAAAAATTGACAAGTTTCATGATCAAAATATTATCCAATCAAAACTCATGATCGAAACTTGACATGATCAATGATTCTGTCAAATTTTCAAAGTGTCAACACAAAAACTATCATTTAAAAAAAATGTACAAAGCAATCGTTAGATTTCTTATCCCTCCTGTATACCACCCTCAGGAACGCCAAAATATCAACACTGTCATCAGATTTTGCTCTGTACTTTTCAATCCATTAACCTTGTTCTGTGTTTTTCTTTATTTAAAAACAAGTAATTGGATTGGAAATGAAGATTTTCACATTCCAGAGGAGCAGAGGGTATCTTCTATCTCTTATATGAAGATGGTATTCTATTATGTCTTTCCTAATTTGACATTTTATTACTGGAATCATTTGTCACTTTGGCAAGTGATTTTGCATAACTTTTTGGGAATTCCTGATTGTTTGGTGATCATGTATTATATCTATTCATGGAATGTTAGTTTTAGTGGCGTTAAATATCTGATTTGGTTGATTTATAAGGTGTCTTCAATCATTGGTTTGATTTCTTATATTGTGGACTTTGTGACTTATGACATAACACAGCTAGAAGCTGAAAGATTGGAAGAAAGAAGGGCATTACAAAGAGAAATAGAGACAATAGAGCTCTTTCGCCAAGCTTTTCAAACCACTCAACTGTCAAGAGTTGTTACAGGTCTCGAAAACATTGCCAATATGAATTTGACACAAATGAAGAATCATAAAGCCAAACTAAAGAGTGATTTGGAAGAAATTGAGCAACGACTGGTAAGTTTGCATGTTTTTAAATTTAATAACACTTGTCAGAGTTCAACTTCAAGGACATCAAGAACGGTCAATATTTCTAATTCTTATGGAGCTACAACTGACTTGAAGAGTGAAACATGTGTCTTGTGTTTAGAAAATCAACCTGTATATCAATTTGTTCCATGTTACCATTGTTGTTTGTGTGAGAATTGTGTTTATGAGCAATGTGCTAAATTGCCTTCTTCTACAGATATTGCAGCTGATGAGGATGATATTCTAACGGCAGAAGACTATCAACTCACCAGGGATATTCCATTTGATTCCCAATTTGAAGATTCGAATAATTTTGTCAAGTGTGAAATGAGTATGAAACCTTTCAGTTCCTTAAATCAATGTCCACTTTGCAAGACAAGAGCCACCAAGTTGGAATATAATAATATGGGTATCAAACCACATGTAGAAATTAGAACATTAAATTCAAAATATCACAACGATGGAGAAAAGCGTGCAAAACAAGAAGTTGGAAAACTTTTCAAATATTTGAGAAGAAATGGCAGTGAACTGGAAAAATTGAAAAAGAGTACAAAAGAATTTTTGGTGAAAACTCTTTCAGTGATGAAGAAATAAAGTATATTTCCTCCACCAATTTTACTCTCAGCACACTGGTTATCAATTATAGAAAATTAAAAAAGTTCCGATGGCTTTGGATTTGAGTGAATGTGGAAATGATTTATTTAAAGAATCTCACTTAATGAGCCAAGTCACTTTTATTGAACAATATTCCAAAGTAAGAGAGGAATATATTAGTGTCGAAAGACTCTGTCCACAATCTCAATGTCATGTACAATAAACTGACTCCTCACTTTCCAATAGTATCCATTCTCATTCTCTAGTTCAAGGGGTTTATTTCCAAGGAAGTATCTCATCAAGAAACAATAACAAGATACTACATATGGTTCTTCCAATTCTGTCGTTGTGATATCCTTGAACAATCCTCCAAATTGTTGATAAGCAAACCAATTTGCTTGTTCATTAGAAATGAATCTTGGTTGACCGTTTTGTAAATCCTTCATTGAAGTCACAACAATTACTTCTGCTCCTTTCGAATATTGCTTAATACCATTCTTCATCATTTCAAATTCTGTCAAACAATTACTGGAATAAGGATTTCCCACCAAGATAAAATAAGATGATTGATCCATATTGTAATCATTCTTGGTTAAACACATCCTCATATATTTCCCATCACCAACATATGCAATCTTCCAACAACGATCGGGAAAACTAACTGTTAAACTCTGAGTTTTATCATAAGAGGCACAATTGAAAAATGATGAGACACTTTCTTCTTCACCAATGATGTGAACAGATTGTTGAGGATCTGAGTAAGTAGATGTTTTTTTTGCTATTACTCGACTTGTCATTGCAAATAATGTTTCGAATACGGAAAAAATATTCGAAAGTAATCCTTCTTCTTCTTTTACAACAGTTGGTTCAATAACAGGCTTACCACGACCTGGTAAATCATGAAAATTATCAAAAAAAGCCTTCAAATACATAAAATCCTGCTCGGATTGTTTCCAAAATTGTAAATCTTTTTCTCCCATAATTACTGGAATATTGTTGAATTCTGGACTTCTGGTTGACAAGTATTTTTGAATAATTAGGACCGCATATTGATAAACCGAATTTCTCAAACTGAATTTGACGAATTTAATGCAATCTCCGAAATTAAACGAACTCGGTTTTTGATTAAATTGGTCAACAATGGTGCTGTAATATTCATGTTGAATGACTGAATGAGAAAGTTGTTGAAAATACTTCGAAACTCTTGAAAAGCAGAAGAATACTTCATACAGTTGAAGATTGGACAATATTGCTTCCATTATTTCATCTGGAAGAATATGAATGTCGAGTTTCTGCATTTTTTTTAGTTTCTACCAACTAACACGTGTAGTTTGCGTCATCACTTCCATTTCAACACAATCCTAACTATTCTTCACAGTGATCATTTTGTTACTGAAAAATCCTCTTGATCAATTCTCCCATATTCTATTGGCATGCCTTGGGTTGAATTCAATGAAAATTTCGGAGTTATTTGGAATCTTTGGGGATTGTATCTGTCATTATCTCTCTGGTTTGGGATCCGCACATGCTCAGATCTTATAACTTATCAATGTGATGTATAATAGTCTGATCTACATGTGTTAAAAACAGGAAGGTGTACCTTCCTATATTTATTGAGATAATCAATAAAGTTTGGAATTTGTCAGAAAAACTTGCCCTCTCGCCAAGAATTCATTTTGCCATATTTGGGATCTGGACTTTTATAGTCTGGAAATAGGCTAGATGTGTTCCATATTCAATAATCTATATGAAAAAAAGAAGAAATAAAATTAACTCTTGAATTGAGTATATAACGACTATTGATATTACTATATATGGTATTTGGATAATAACTTTCACAGAAATCATTCATGAAACACAAATTGTACTAAAGTGTATTAGAAACATAATGGTGGTGAAACTGATCAATAACTCGTCGAAATGACTGAGATGGAATGTAAACTATGGTCCAAATGTCATGTATTTGTAACTAAACAGTGTCAACTCCGCCAAAGAGCTTGAAACTAGATTGATATCATCAAAAACACTTCTAGACATCACATATGTCATAAAGAATGAGTTTCAATATTTGATATTGTGAACTGACTCTGTTGGATACCATCTCTATAAATATAACAAGATGAAAAGTGCCAATACTCAACTTCACATTGAGACGTGTATACTAAGGTTGAAGAAGTGTCACCTTCACTGATTACTGACATGAATATAATAATTGAATATATGATTCTTGTATAAGTATTTCATTATTCAATAATTGTAGAATTATAGTAAAACTTAATTTTGAAAATAAGATACTTCCCTATTTACTACCCATGAAGATATTGAGCTATGAATATGAAACTTTCTCAGATTGTTCTCCTCATCAAGAGGAGTGTATTAATATTTGATACTTGTATGATATTTTGTAAAATGAATGAGATGGAGCATATTCTACAAGTTGAAATATGAGAATTTGACAGATTGTTATTATTATCATATTGAATTCAATTCTAAAACACCAAAATTGATACCAGTTGTATATCAGTGTGACTAAATGTATCTGGTAAAGTTAAGTGATGGTTGGATATACTTTCATTGAGACAGTGTGTACACTTGGATATAAGCATTATTGACATTAAATATTTACTGATTGACTGAAAGAAAGTATCATGAATTGTTTCAAAACGTGTATAGATGTATATGGGTTTGGTTAGGATTCAGAGTTGATTTATTTGGGTTATTTAAGAGATTACTTAGTGAAGATTTATATCATTGATTATAATTCTTATCATCTATAAATGATGTAAATTTGATGGTTTCATTTCTTATATTGATAGATATATAAAGGTCAGGTCAGAACTAACTTTTGTATTATGGACTTTGAGAAGTCAAATGTTTGGGACGTGAATCTACTCATTAGATTGAATAGGTATTGCTAATAAAACAACATTTCATTGATTTATTGATTATAACGGTCAAATTGAGTTGAATGTAAGTGATTCTTTGTTGATTCATCGTGGAATGGTAGTTTCGCCACGTAGTGGTGCAACTACCAACCTTTGTAGATTGAATCAGGTTTATTTGCATCAATATCCAATTTGTAGCATTATCAAGAGAGTGATTATTCACCAATTCAATGATCAATATTCAATAATCGGTTTGATTTCAATCAATAGCTTGATCAACAAGCTTTGAATATTAATATTCCAGTAATTAACGGCAGTCTATTTTTAAATTTAATCAAAGACCATATATAGTATCTAGACTTTTATGATCTGGAAACTATCTAGATGTGTTCTATATTGAATAATCTATTTGAAAATGAGAAGAATTAACTCTTCTATTGAGTTTTATTGGTATTGCATGCTATTACGATTATACTAATCTACACAGAAATCACTCTTGAAATATAAACTGTACTACAATGTATGAGAAACATAATGGTGGTGGAATTAATCAATAAATCGTTGAAATGACTGAGATGGAATGTAAACTATGGTCTATTTGTCATGTAATGGTGACTAGACAGTGTCAGTTTCATCAAATTATTTCAAACTGATTACATTCAATAAAAAACAGTTCTATACATCAAACATGTCATAAAGAATGAGTTTCAATATTTAATATTGTGAACTGACTCTGTTGGATACCATCTCTATAAATATAACAATATGAAAAGTGTCAACATTCAATTTCACATTCATGTTACAATGTAGAGTCATCATTATATCATCTAAATAGGTAATATTTCAAGTTTCAGTGGAATTGACTGTCTACATATTGAGATGTGCATACTAAGGTTAAAGAAGTGTCACCTTCACTGATTACTGACATGAATATAACAATTGAATGTATTATGCTTGTATAATTAATTCATTATTCAATGAGTGTGATATGATGGTAAAATTTAATT